GATGGTCCTCATCAATGTCGGACTTGATCGCCTTGGCAAGGTGTCAGGCCCCTGCGGGTTTATGCTTTGCCATTTTTATGGTGTCCCATTATGCATATTTTTCTTTGGTTTTGCATTTTGCCGTCCTTTTTGTTGGCGGCAAAAGACCGGGCATCCTACGCCTGCAGGCGCAAAACCGCTGCGCACACTGCACTGAATCTGGCGTCATCCCCCGTCCATCCTCCCACACACGCTCTCTCTCCCCCTCCCTCCCCCCCAACATCCGGCAGAGAGAAACAAAAAGCTCGACAGCAAAAAACCCAGACCTCTGGCGTCGTGATCCGTTCACGACGCGGTCCGCCCGAGCTCTGGACCCCACCACCTTGGAGGCAGCCTCCTTCGCCGCGGGTCGTCCTCCAGTGGCCCCGGGGCGTGAGCACTTTGACACCCGATGCCCAGAACGTGGAGCAGAAACTGCCGCAATGATCGTTGAGCAGGGACCGACCGTCCCGGCATTTCTTAGAACCCAGAAATGTTCTAAGAACAAAAAAATGTTCTTAGAACGTAGACCCGATGTGTTGAAACAGGACAGCCCCAGCCAAAACTGTTTTGAGAACCATTCGTGGAAACCACAAGAGGTCCTTAGAACCTTGTTCGGTAGGCCTGTGGAGCACGCCTGGACGCCTCGCCACTGCTTGCGACCGTCACCACGACGCCGTGAAGTCTGGGAACGACAGGGGGGGGTCCGATCCCCCCTCAACCCGAGCATCGGCTGCACGCAGGAGTCGCCGCAGGCCAGAGCGAGACACCCGGTGCGCGGACCGTCGACCGCGGCGCGAGGCGCGCTGGCGGCAGCGCCGCGCACTCGGGCCTGGCCCACCGGAAGCCGCGCACCGGGGGTCCCTCTGATGGCAGGCCAGAGATACCGATGCGCGCTGGTCGGACGAGGTGGGCAGAAACAGGACGCAGGGAGGCGGATAAAGCGGGTTGGGGTCAGGCCCCCCAAACGAATGACAAACCACCGCAAACGCATCGATTCTTGAATTGGGGAGACGCTTGAAATAGATTGGGATCTGGGAGCCCCAAAAATCAAGTTTCATCAACCGACGGGTACCGTTACTCGGTGGACCTCTCTGGGGCTGCGTTCTAATGAGAATTTCGAGGACAATACAGCCGTAGCAACGAGGGCTCAGCAGAACGGGTAGCGGCATCGAGATCTTTTCTCCCTCTTGCCACTCTGGCGAAGGGTCACTCTTGAGTGCGGCCGAGAGAACCCGTTCAGTACGACGAAGCTGCACCGACCGCGGCGGCGCCTTTTGAAACTACGCCGCGCGCCGTTGCTGAAGGCTTCCGGTTCCCCTCCCCATGTCGTGGTCCTCGCCGTCGTGGTGCCCTTCCTCCTCCTCCTCCTCCTCGTCTTCTTCCTCCACCTCCTCGTTGTTGCTCCTCTTTTTTTCGCCCCGTTCCTGCTAATCATCGGCATCCTCTTTGTCTTCTTCGTTCGGTAAACATTACGGCCAAGCTTGTTACGTCCATCCAGATGAGGAAAAGGCGCCGACTCATAGACGGAGCGAGCGCACAACCAATGCCGTGGACAGGTGAAGCTAAAGGAAGGCACACACAGAGAAAAGACACCTCTTTGCCCTCCTCCTCTTGGGCGCAAGGTGGCCAAACCTGGGCGCGCAAGCCGCCGCTACCGCTGCGGATCGGGGGACCCCGATGGGCCCGCACCAGGGGTCCCTCCGGCGAAGGGCCAATCCTACGTGTAGCCTTAGGTCGGGCATGTCCCCCTACAGGCGGATTTCGGGCGAAAACTCAGATATGGCCCAAAAAAAACCCAAATGGCGAAGAGTGGCCAGAACGTCGTCTCCAGACTTTCTCTTCCTCCTGCAGGGGGACAGTCCCATTCAGACGTGCTCTCCCATCACTGCTGGCAGTCCCCAGTCTTGCTTGCTCTGTTGGCAGCCTGTGCCCATGCCCGGGAGGCTACCTGCCAGATCAGCGCCCTTTGCAGAGCACAGGCCTTGCAGGCTGCCGGATTGCATGGGGCGCACCCTCCACATGGTCTGGGAAGCATGCAGGAGCTGCAACCGCTCCACCTCCTAGTTCACAATGACAGATGCCAACTGGACTGGCCCTGCGCAAGCACATCTGTCGCGCGGCGCCCCGAGGTTCAAGTGCCGCGCTCCGAGCGCGCGGGCGCGCGCCGCGGGTGGCCTTGCAGGCTGCCAGATTACCGGGGGCACGCCTCGCAACTGCAATGGCGCGGCAAACAGACGTCCGACGCGCGGCCCTTGCAGCTCTCCCCCCAAATGTCGGCGCCGCTGGGGCGACGCTGCTGGGGTGCGTCGCGGCACCTGGGGCAGCCCCCCCACCACCCAATGCCGCGACATGGCGACATGGCGCGCGCGGGCGCCTATGAGCAACTAGTGCCTCCTTAGCTCAGCTGGCAGAGCATGCGCCTCGTAAGCGTATGGTCGTGGGCTCGATCCCCACAGGGGGGCTCATTTCCTCCTCGTGGACCCGCGCGCCTGCCCGCGGTCTTCGAGGTCTCTCGCTGCCCGGGTCGGAACGCGGCGGGCGCCATGGCAAATCGACGCCCGTGGGATGCGAGCCCACGCGGGGAGACCCCATCGGCTTAGGCTTAGCAGGCCGACGCCTTAACCGCTCGGCCAAAGTGTCACTGCCTACAGAGCGCGCTGGGCCTGCGACTTTGCGTTGATGCCCCCCCGTGCCGCGCCTCGCCCACCCAAGCCCAGTGCTTCGGCGCTGGCTGGCCCCGCGCATGGGCCGCTGTGCGCGCGCAGCATGCTCCTCGCCACGCCGTGCTGCCCGCAGGCCCCGGCGCTCCGACCTCCCCCCCTCGCGCGCGGCTCTCCTCGGAGAGCCGGCCGCCCGCGCGCCCCCCGCCGCCCCCCCCCCCGCCCCCCCGCCCGCGCGCGGCCGCAGGTGTGCGCCCCCCTCGCCGGGCCGCTCGGAGGGGGGAAGCCGCGCGCGAGGGCCGTCGGCCAGCGGCGAGCCCAGGGGGGGGGGGGAAGCGCAGAGGGGCGCCCTTCTGAGCGAGCGAGGAGGAGGAGTGAGGAGAGGAGGAGGAGGAGGAGGAGGAGGAGGGAGAGGAGGAGTGAGGAGTGAGGAGGGAGGAGGAGTGAGGAGGAGGAGGAGGAGGAGGAGTGAGGAGAGGAGGAGGAGGAGGAGGAGGAGGAGGAGGAGGAGGAGGAGGAGGAGGAGGAGGAGGAGGAGGAGGAGGAGGAGGGCACCCCTGGGCGGCGAGCCCTCTCAGCGAGGCCCTCGACGCCCTCGCCGGGTCGCCGCGGAGAGGGCGCCAAAGGGGCGAAGGCCTTCCTGGCGGGGCAAGATGCGGGACTCTGGCGGCCCCCTGCCAGACCCTGGAGCCCCGGAGTGCTCCTGCCTGCTGAGAGGCCTTGTAAGCCTTCCCACGAAGACACTACACGGAAAATCCATGTCGGAGGACCGGAGAGATTCTGGAAAGCCCCTGCTGAGGAGGCCTTCTCCTTCTCACTTCCCGCCCTCTCTCGCCAGCGATTCCGTTCGCTGGGCGGGAATCGCTCCAGTCCCAAAATCAAGTGGGCGACGCAAAGATAAAGGTCTTGCGCGAACCGGCACAGCGACCTCACGCGATTGACAGATTGACTCTTACGTTCTGGAAGGGAGGGCGGGAATGGGCGAGGGGGGGGCGCTGACCTGTTCGACCTGGATGACTTGATGTAGCCCTACTCATCCCCCCCCGCCCCCATCCTCGCCCTCGTCCCATCCTCCTCCTGGCCCTCCTCCTCCTCCTCCTCCTCCTCCTCCTCCTCCTCCACATCATCATCATCATCATCATCATCATCATCATCATCATCATCATCATCATCATCATCATCATCATCATCATCATCATCATCATCATCATCATCAGCATCAGCATCAGCATCAGCATCATCATCATCATCATCATCATCATCATCATCATCATCATCATCATCATCATCATCATCATCCTCGTCCTCGTCGTTGTCAACCTCCTCCCCTTACTCCTCCACTTCCCAGCACTCCTGCAACTTCTCCTCGTCCTGGTCCACATCCCCCTGCCCTTCCCCAAACTGCCTCACCCGCCCCGTTGATTTGCAGCGCCTCCTCGCCCCACTCAGATCGCCCGCACGTGCAGAATGGCGGTCCCTTGCCTTTTATATATTTTCGGTGTCGCGTCCAGTGTCCTCATCACCAGGGAGATGGCTCCGGACATGTGCCCAAAACAAGATCCGCTTCCGGCTTTTGCTCCTCTCAGATATCAAATAGTCGTTACTTTGGGCACTCTCCGAAGCCGAAGGTTCTTCGAACAGGGCGCGGCTCCCGCCGCAATCTCTTGCTGCGAGCGGAACCGCCAGTATCCACGCCGATGGGCGCGCAGACACTGCGCATGTCTCGTATCACGCTTCCTGGATAACTCGTATCCGAGGCAGCTTGCGGGGTCCTCCGTCTCGCCTGGACAGAGGCATAGAGGCACACGAGAATATGCTACCATTAAAGTGCCAAGTAAGGACACTCGTAGTCTCGTCTACGATTGAACACACTAGCGCACGCTTGTGGCACAGTGACGCTGTTGGGTAATTGGACCCATGCCTTCGCAAACTGACCGAGTCAAATAATGGAGGTATCAAATATAGCACCGAGTTGTCAAACAATGTGCGTTCATGCGAACGGTTTCACTGAGATGCAGCGTGGCGATGCTCAGGGAAGGGCTGGAACTTCGTCGAATTGTCTTGCCCATGCCACAGAACCAAATTGCTGACTGGGAGGCAATAGTGAATAAAGAGCTCAGAAACAACATCTGACAAAGCGGCATGCTGAGCATTGTAGCCAGCGGACAGAACGAAGGGAAATCACACAACAATGTCATATGTACTCCATGTCTCGCTTGACGGGCAAACCCAATGCAGATGGGCTGCCTGTCCGCTGCCGATGCTCAAAGCCAAAACGCGTCAAACCAGGATCTCTTGTGCTAAGGAGTACGATCGTCTTCAGGAGGCCGTCTTCATGAAGCCTCCCGGGACCGTGCCCCTGTGAGGAATCAGAACTTTAGGGGGCCACATGCGAACCCTACCCCGACCCCCCACGATTTCTGAGGGGGAGGGTGGGGTTCACTTCGCTTGGGAGCTCGCGAACGAAGTGAACCCCACCCTCCCCCTCAGAAATCGTAGGGGGCAGGGGTAGGGTTCGCATGTGGCCCCCTCAACTTGAAGATAAAGAGGCGGGAGGAGGATGAGGATGAATACGGGGAGGGTAGCAGAGACCTCGCACAAGCAAATGCAAGCCCTGGTTGACCTGTACAGTCGGGCCTGCAGCCGGGAAAACAAAAAAACTGCCCAAGCTGGACCTCTGCGCGCCTGGACGATTGTCCCAAAACAAGCCAGACTCGCCAGCGAGGTAACGACATCGCCTGAGAGAGCTGACGAGGAATGACTCGAAGCTTGATCAGAGAGAGATGGGACGGGATGGGAGCGTTTTCTTAACCGGCGTTTCGAGAGTGGGCGGAGGGGAGGGGTGGGGGTTGCCTCCGAACCTCTGCTCACTGCGACTGTTTGCAGCAGTGCGTCCTATGGGGGAGACTCCACCTGCTCGGAAAAGGCACCAAGAACAGCCAAGATCTGCTTCATGGTGGGGGGGAGATTTAAGAGTACGTGATGAAGGGTTTTTCTTATTATCATGCTCATCCTCAGTATCATCATCATCGTCATCATCATTACCATCACCATCATCATCATGTTCCTTCTCCTTCTCATGGTCCTTCTCGTTTTCATCCTCCTCCTCATCATCTGCCCTTTGCTTGCGCAATCAAAGCGATCCGATATACGTACACTTGAAAACAAACACAAACCCATGCACCCAAAAACAATAAGAAGCCGATGCGCTCAAAAACAACGTGAAAAAACATACAATCAAAAACAATAGGAAACCCGTACACGCAAAAACAATGATAAATACTTACCACCACAAACAAACAATAAGAAACCCATACCTTCAAAAACAAACATACAATCCGTACAATCAAAAACTATAACAAAACGTCTTGGGTCCACGAACCGTGTGACGGTACCAATAACCCCTCCAAAAAAAAGAAAAAAACCAAACAAAAACCCAAAAACCTACGATGCCATCAAACAATATCAGATCAATGGCTTCCGTGTCTTCGGCCTTCCTCCGGGCCCCTCCAGCCCAGATCTGCCCAGACAGCCTGCAGGCACGGAAACGATTTATTGTTTTGTTTTCTGTTGCCATCACAGGATGTTGTGCTGTTCTTATGGTTGCTTGTTGTTTCTTGTGTGTTGGTCGCTGTTTCATATTTTTCTCTGGTGCCTTCACAGAGTTTGTTGACCCTAGACATGTTCTGACTGTTTTTTGAGTGTATGGATCTATTGCTGGTGATGATGCGAAGGACGAGGACGCGAAACCATGAGGATGATGAATGTAACGATGAGGAGGAAGAGCGACGATGATGATGATGATGATGGCAAGGATGCGGATGATGACTATGGAAGGGAGGAGGAGAAATAATGATGACGATGATGATGGCGACGACGATTGGGATCAGGAGGAGGAGGCAGGGTGATGATGATGCTGATAGTGGTGATGAGAACGATGACGCATGATGATGCTGATAATGAGGAGGACGAAGCGGACGTGGGGCAATGACGTATGATGATGGCGATGTGGAGGAGGGAAGGAGGGATGGTGATGCGTTTGATGATGATGCTGGTGATGATGATGAAATTGTGGAGGAGGATGAAGGATCATGACGATGACGGTGATGATGAGGAAGGGTGACGATGATGCGGAGGAAGTAGGAGGGATGACGATGACGATGGTGATATTGGGGAGGAAGAGGACGACGACAACGACGAGGAATAGGAGCAGGAGGAGAATGAGAATGGGGACGAAGGCACTTTGATGCACTACCAACTGCGTTTTACTGTTGGACTTTAAGGTTGATTTCGTGCTGTACGCAAGAAGCCGGTCTTTCCATAGGATAGTTCGGTTTGAAAGAACAAAGGGCAACCAAATGTAGTACGTCTTACCAACGCCGACAAAATCAAACTCACAGTTCAACATCAAACAATAGCACGTACTGCATCAAAGCGCCTCCGTCCCCTTCTCATCCTCCTTCTGCCCCTCTTCTTCTTCGTCGTCGTCGTGCTTCTTGTTCTCCTCCTCCTCCTCCTCCACCTCCTCTTCCTGACCATCATCATCATCCCTCCTACTCCAAATCATCTTCCTCCCCCACATCATCGCCATTCCTGCTCATCACCACCATCATCCTGGTCCTCCTCCTCCACACCATCATCATCATCCTTTACATCATCATAGTCCCCCCTCTCCATCCTCCCCCTTTATCCCTTGTTATCATCCTCCTTCTCTTGACCACCATCATACGTCATCATCCTCGTTCTTCTCCTCCTCCTCACCATCAACATCATCATTTGCCATCAATATCATCATCAGTATCATCATCACCCCGCCTCCTCGTCGTCCTGATGTCCATGGTCGTCACCATCATCATCATCATCAGCATCATCATCAGCATTCCTTCTCCTCCCTTTCATTATCATCCTCATCCTTTCCATCCATCGTCATCATCGCTATGATTCCCGACCATCACAATCGTCATCCTCATTGTTTCTCATGCTCGCCAACGACGTCATCACCATCAACACCATCCTTCATCATCATTCATCATCAACCTCCACATCCGTTTTTCATTACCATCATCATCCGAATCATCACCTTCAGCATCATGATGATGCCCCTCGTCCTTGTCAACAATATCAGCATAATCATAATAATCACCTCAACTCCTCCCCTTCCTCCCAAGCATCGTCATCATCAGTATTCATCCCACTCCTCCTCTTCATCATCAGAATTATCACCATCACACTCATCACCATCATCATTATCATCATTATCATCCTCATCATCGCCATCATCAGGTTCGAACTGCATCATCGCCCTCTGCCTCATCGTCACCATCACCATCATCATCACCATCGCCATCATCAATATTCCTCGTCCCCGCCCTCGCCATCATCACCATCATCACCATCATCGTCATCGTCATCATCGTCATCACCATCATCATCATCATCAACATCATCATCACCATCATTATCCGAATCGTCATCGTCATCATCACCCTCGCCGTCATCACCGTCATCATCATCGTTCCTCCTTCACCTCCCCCTCCTCTTCGCTGCAACGGCAATGATAACAAAGGAGAACACACTGCAGGCAAAACTCAAATAGCATCACATACTGTCTGGGGATTAGTATGCGCTTGTCTATCAATGCCATGCATGCGCAATCCCGCGTCCTGAACCCTCGTGGCGAATTTTCCCATATTCCGCCATCCATCACACTATTGCTTGAACCGTTTCCCCCCTTCCCCGCCTTCAATCCCCCTTTGGAGAACAATGTTCACCGAGGGCCGTTTCCTGGAGCGGCAACAGGCAATGAGGCAAGGCACGGCGCTTTGTCACATCGCGGGTAGTCAGTGGGGGCCCAATGTGGAAGCCGATGCAAGCCAAACCCCTCGCGCAACGTCGCTGGGAGTATGCAGCACAGAACGGGGGCGTGCAACGCATAGCGCCCCCACCCCCAGCGCACCCCTGGTGGCGTCGAGGAAATGCCACGCCTGCCACGCCCTGCGAGCCTGCACATGCGTGCGGCTGTATGTTGAACGCGGTTCTCATGTACGCGCCGTGTATGCGTCGCCTCCGGGTGAGGCGAGGAAGAGGAAGAGAGGAAGAGAGGAAGAGGAGGAGGGGAAGATGAAGGCACGCGTGGGAGGTGACGCGGGTGCGACGCGGCAAGGGAAAAACGACCCCCCACGAAACACGTGGGGGAAAACGGAATACATGCAATCAAAAACAAGCAGCAGCATATATAACCAAAACAATTAGGACCCAGCGCACTCAAAACCAATCAACAATCCACAAAAACAAAAGCAGCCAGAACACGTCTTAGGTCCACACTCGCTATTACTGTACAACCCCCCACCACCCACACACACAAACAACAACAAAAACTGCGGGGGCGCCCAATTACTCCGACGGTCGAACTTCACGCGATAATCGATTCAGTTCGCCTTTGGCCTTTCTTTTCTGCCACGTGTGGCGGAGGTTTCATTCCGCTCTCTCCGTCCTTCCCCTGCTCCTTCTCCCCCTCCTGTTCCTTCTCGACCTAATTACCCGCTGCATTTCTCATCATCTTCCTTTTCCGCTTCCTCCTCCTCCGCCTCCTCCACTCCCCCCCCCTTTCCCTCATGTTCCTCTTCCTCCTTCTCCTCCTCCTCCTCTTCCTCCTCCTCCTCCTCCTCGGCCATTGCCCCGCCCTCCTCCGCCGCCTCCCCCCCCCCCCTCCTCGTCGCCGCCCCGATCGTTCCCCTCCTGCGCCTCTCCTGCCTCTTGGTAGGGGCGCGCGCGGAGACTTTCCTCGGCGCCCTCGCCGCCGCGCCCGGCAGGGGCGCGTTCTCCGACGGCGAAATCGCGCAACCGTTGGGGGCGGCCCCGCGGGCCAAGCCGTCGGGGGCGCCTTCCGCAAAGATGCCGGCGGGCCTCGCTCCAGGAACTCTCGCGGCGGCGGCCGCAGGATCAGCGCGTCCCGCATGCGCGTGGCGCGGGGGGACCTGGCGCAGAGGCGCGGCCACCACTGCTCGTCCGAAGTGCCCGCGCGACCAGCGTCCTCGCCCCTCGACCCGTCGACGGTGACGCCTTTGCGCGGCGTCTGGCCCAGCGACAGCGCGGAGGCGAGGTGCGACGCGCGCGTCGCGGCGAACCCCGCGCGGCGCGCGGCGCCGAGCTCTGCCGCGTGAGCTCTTGCTCGCCGGGCCTGATCATGCGCAAGCTCCTCGCCCGCGCCTCGGCCTCGCCGTCGTCGTCGGCGCCTCTGGCGCCCTGGAACAGCACCACGGCGACCTCATGGTAGATCCGAGACTCCTCGCAGCTGTGATCCTGCAGCCAGATTCCCTGCGGCGGGGCGGAAAAACTGGCCCAGCGAGCGCTCCGCGGACTGCTGCGCGTCCTCGGGGTGGAACTCGAAAGATACGACAGTGGTCCGTTGCTCCTGCGCGAGCCCCAACTCCTTCTTCAACTCTTCCTGCGCCGCCGCGAATCGCACCACCGCGCCGACGTGGGCCGGCAGGGTGCCGCGGACGTCCCCCGTCCTGTGCAGTTTCGGGGCGTTCAGGAGGCGCCGAACCGCGTTGGGATCGCCCTGAATCGCGCTGCACTCGCCCACGGCCTGCAAGAAAACGAAATAGGGCGCGCCCAGGCGCCGCGCGTCGCGACAAGCGCGCGTTGATCCACCCTGCCATCGTCTCTCAGTAGATGCCCATGCCGTAGCCGAGCCGAAAGTTCGCGCTGGTGCCGAGGGTCCACAACGCCGTGGCTGTCCGAGGCCAACGTCGTTTG